ATATTAAATGTTAATAATACATCGCAAGTTTAGTGTTTTTTATTTTATCTGATTTTAATCAAATACATGAAGTCTTGGTGAACATAAGTAACTTCTTTCAAAAATATTAAAATCATAATAATATATTTTATTTTATGCAACTATTTTACAAAATGTATTTCGTTTTTTATCATTCACTAAAAAACTAGTCCTATAAACTGATGAAACTACTGTACTGTAAAGCATCAAAGCAGATGTCAGTGCAATCATTCATTATACTCGTGAATGCAGTCAGCTAGGTTCAGTTGTGAGAATGGAATTTGGTAGATTGCCAGTTGTGCACTCATTGAAGATCAGCCCTGTTTCTGAGAGTTAATGATTATGATGCTCTGAGTGTCTGCTGCTGTTAAATCTTTTGTTGTGTTTGTGTGTGTGTTGTCTCACACAGGTCTTTTCTTCATCTTGCCGTGCACGGACAGCTTTATCAATGTGGATATGCGCACCATCACCTTTGATATCCCCCCCCAGGAGGTGAGATCACACACACAAAACACTAATCCTCAACTTCGGCCTCTGTTTTATCACACGAACAGCATCAGTATGAAGGTGAAGCATGTCATCATTACAGTGTTAATACATTTACCACACAGTTTAATGTTCAGTGACTATAAGCAAATAATTTATGATGACATTCTAAAAAGTGCAAACAGGTGGTTGGAGTTTTTGGGGAGCTGAAATGATGTTTGCAGTTCCATTTTGTACCACTATTGCTGCAGAAATTACATACTTTACCTTTAAAGATAATTGTCTTTAAAAGTTTTGAATTTGAATTTTGATTTATGTGTTCAAAAATACAGTAAAAACTGTTATATTGTGAAATATTATTTTAATTTAAAATAAATGTTTTCTGTTTTAATATATTTTAAAATATAATTTATGCCTGTGACGGCAAAGCTGAATTTTCAACAGCCAGTCTTCAGTGTCATATGTTTCTTCAACAATCATTCGGAAATGCTGAATTGGTGCTTAATTATTATCAAGTATTAGTGGTGCTCACTTTTTAATAAAGGTTCTTATTATTATCAACTTTGAAAATATTCTTAATATTTTTGTGGAAACTGTTATACATCAAGATTCTTTGATTAATAGAAAGTTCAAAAGAAAAGCATTTATTAGAAATATAAATCTTTTGTAACATTATAAATGACTTTACTGTCACTCATGATCAGTTTAATGCATCCTTTCCGATTAAAATGATTAATTTTTAATTGCTTAGCCCAAACATTTTAATGGTAGTGTATGGTTTCCACAAACATATTAAGTAGCACAACTGTTTTCAACATTGTTAAGTGTGAGAAATATTTCAAAGTACTGATATGCACCAAATCAGGATATAAGAATGATTTTTGAAGGATCATGCGGCACTAAAGACTGGAGTAATGGCTGCTTAAAATTCACAGGAATAATTAAAATTCAAATAGAAAACAGTTATTATAAATTGTAATTTTTTATTTTTTACTGTGTTTTTGGTCAAATAAATGCAGACCTTGTGAGCATGAGAGGCATCTTTCAAAAACATTAAAACAATCTTAATTATACCAAAATTCCCATTAGTATAGTTTTGTGGTTGTGGTATCCCAGAATATCACCCAGATGATGTTTTTTATTAAATAGTTTGTGTGCATTCGTCCTCACAGGTGCTGACAAAGGACTCTGTGACAGTGAGTGTAGATGGTGTAGTCTACTACCGTGTACAAAACGCAACGCTGGCAGTAGCCAACATCACAAATGCTGATGCAGCCACTCGTCTGTTGGCACAGACCACCCTGAGGAACGTGCTGGGTACAAAGAACCTGGCAGAGATCCTGTCTGACCGGGAGGAAATCGCCCACAGTATGCAGGTAACACACTACACAACACATACAAACATTACAATACAAAACAAGAGTTAAACTTTTAAAGAAATAGATCACCCAAAAATAAAAAATAAAGCTTATTGTCTCATTAGGGCCTTTCGCACCGCGGGAACCTTTTCATAGTACCAGAACTAATTGTGGAACTACCCACTTTTTGGCGTTTTCGCACCGCCGGAACTGGGAGCGATTTTAGTACCGGAATGCCTTTTTCGAGAACCAAATTAGCTCCTTCTCCGGAGCAGGGTCTAACCAGCACAACTGGTACTAATCGTGACGTATGTAGACATTGATTGGCCAAACGCGTATGAAAACGCCCTCACCCGCCATGATTTAAAACGCTGTGTAAACATACTGTAAACATTGTGTTAACTTATTTCGCAAGTGTGGAGAACAGCGATAGATGGACGGACGCTGAAGTGCAGGCATTTGTAGCAAATGTAGCACTGCCAGTTGTCGTTGGAGATTCTTAGTCCTCCTTTCCGTTCTTTCAATCGCTTTATGTATACGTCGACTTTCCATGTCCATTATTGTGAAACCCGCGAGACACAACAAAAACACCGCTCCGATCACAGTGTCCTCCATCCTCCTGTTGTTAATGTTGTTCTTCTTTGTTTCTGTGGTTGAATGCCGCGCACAAATGACGAAGCTGTCGACCGGCTTACGTCACTTCTTAGTACACACTCTCGGTGCGAATGCAACCCTTTAAATGGTACTGGGAAATAGTTCACGCAAAATCGTCCCAGTACTTTAGTACTGTACATTTAGTTCTGGAACTAAAGCGGTGCGAGAGGCCCTATTGAATTGGTTTGGACTAGACCTGATTCAAGCAGACATTCCACAACATCAAGCAGTGCATTCACTGTATCTCAGCCGAGACGCTGACTTATCCAGCTCGACTGCACTGCTAGCACCTTCCTCAGTTCGCACATGGCCCGCCGTTCGCTCATTCCGTCTGACATCCTTTAAAAAAACTATGGGGGACATTCTTCATGACAGGCACACTTGGCACAGTGCTTCATACATGAGGAGCACGAAGCATGAGGAATCTCTGAGAAGAAGTGTTTGGACTTGACTCTGTTTTTTTCTTTAGTCCACTCTAGATGATGCCACAGATGACTGGGGTATTAAAGTGGAACGTGTGGAGATTAAGGACGTCAAACTGCCCCAGCAGCTCCAGAGGGCCATGGCAGCTGAGGCTGAAGCAACCAGAGAGGCCAGAGCTAAGGTAACATGCTTTTGATATTTAGTAAGTGGCGCTATTACGCATTTCACATGGAAAGTTGTTAGACAATCATAACAGATCTCAGATGTTAAAAGTAAACAGATTAATTTAGAAAGCGGATGGAAAATTATTACACAATTCCAAATCAGGACTGTTTTTAATGCCTTGCCTAACATTATAAGTGGACTTAAAGAACTTAAAGAATTATCTAGTGCAAAAACTTGCATTACAAATGTCCAAATACTTTTTAAAAACACTATTTGTAAACTTAGAAAGACTTGTAAAATGTACACATTTATAAAATATTTTATTATTAATTAAGAAATACAAATGATGGAAAATAATATATAATTCACATATAAATATAATTTTTGTGTGTGCTTACTACGTATAAACTACCATTTCAAAGTTTGGGATAAGTTTTAAGTTTTTAACTTAAGTTTTTAAAATAAGCAAAGGCACATTCAGTTGATCAAAAATGACAATAAAGACATTTATAACATTAATGTCGTTAATGTTGAAATAAATGCTCTGTTGAACTTTATACTTTTTAAAATGTATCACAGCTTCCACAACAATATTAAGCAGCACAACTGTTTCCAACATTGACAATAGTAAGGAATGTTTCTTGAGCACCAAATCAACATATTAGAATGATTTTTGAAGGATCATGTGACACTGAAGACTGGAGTAATGGCTGCTGAAAATTCAGCTCTGCCATCACAGGAATGAATTACATATTAAAATACATTAAAAAATATTTTTTTTTATTAATATTTCAGAATATATATATATATAGGTCAGAACACTAAAAGTCTGGTGCATTATTTATCCTTGTTACACACACACACACAGGACACTCTTGGATAATGTTCATTATGTGGACTGATGATTATATTTATATTTGATAAGATTTTGCTGGCAAACACATATTAATCATCCTCTCATGTACATGCATGTACATACTGTGGACCAAATTATTGGAATGTGTGGGAGCTGAATGCAAACGTTCTCTGCTCTGAGGCAAGACCACCGCAATACTCTCATAGGAAGCGGAAGTGACAACTCCTTTCCTATTTCTGTGTGTATTTCCCACTAATTTGTCTGTTTATTTATGTGAGAGCCTTTATTTTTTTCATTTCCAGCTGTATGCCTGGTTAACCTCTTCCCTGTGCAGTTGAATTGCCCTCCTTAAAAATGTTCATGAGAGCACATGCCCTCAGAAGAACATGCGAAAGGAAGTTTTAATGATTTTATTTTTGGTGCACAATTATTCTTCCATGCTTAGTTCAGATACAAAAAGAATGTTTTCTTCAAATCAATGCCCCAACCTACATCAGCCACACAGAGAGAAGTGGGAAACCACTGTCCTGGTTATTTAAAAGTTTAAACCTCTCAGCATCAACTATATAAGTATAGTAGGTGTTTAGCAGACACTTTTAAAAGAAGTAACGTACAGCATTGGAACTCGGATGACGTCAAAGGCTGTGCCTTTAGTCAAACTCTGCAGTATTTTGGCACAAATTCATCCGTCACTTGGTAAAAATATTCAGACGGCAATATTAGCCAGATGCCAGTATAGAGGGGTTGTGTGGCAACACTTGATCCTCAAAAACCATAAACAAAATTTTGCTAGACAAAAAGAAACCTGAGCCAAACTATAATAAAATGATGTTCTGTCATAATTTACTCACCCTCAAATTATTATTCCACACCTGCATGAGTTTATTTCTTCTGTTGAGCACAGAAGAAGACATTTAGAAGAATTTGGTTACCAAACAGTTCCATAGTATGGACAAAAATAATTGGAAAAACTTGAGGCTGAGTAAATGATGACAGAATAACATTTTTTTGGGTGAACTATCCCTTCAAACACAAGTTTACTTGCAGTAAAACAAAAATGTGGTTTCTTCCAACCACTAGGCCTATTTGTTTTGTGAAACCATCAAGAGACATTTAGAAACATTTCAAAATGTGTGCATTTAAAATTTGTATAATTGTACGTATTTTGTCTTTAAATAATTTTTGTGGGAAAAAATAAGTACTGATTTTAAACTTGTGCAATGTATACTCTCGGCCATAAAGCAAAACCAGGCGAGTTGCTTAAAGGAATAGTTCACCCACAAATAATATTTATGAATATTTTCTCGCCCTCAGGCCATTGATAGATGGATAGATTTTAACATTACATCACTAATGGATCCTCTGCAGTGAATGAGTGCCATCAGAATGAGAGTCCAAACAGCTGATAAAAGCATCACAATAATCCACAAGTAATCTACATGGCTTCAGTGAGTAAGAAGCAAATCCGTCATTAAGGCATTTTAACTTTAAAGGGGTGGTTGATCAGCTTTTTTCGAAGGCTTGATTGTGTTTATGGGGTGCAGTGTAACGTGTTCATGATTCGTTTTTTTTTTTTTCCTAGTGTACCAGCATTGAACACGCGTAGATTGAGGAAGCATTCCTCCGTAAAATGTGCAGCGCTGAGTGCTATATTGGTATTTAGGGATGCACCGATATGTTTAGCAGACGCTTTTTTTCCAAACCAACTTACAGTGCATTCAGGCTATATATTTTTTACCAGTATGTAAAAGTGTCTTAATAATGGATTTGTTTCTTATAAACACACAGCTTTTCACTTCACAAGAGGTTCATTATTGGGGTGGAGTCATGTGGATTATTGTGATGTTTTTTTATCAGCTGTCTGGACTCTCATTCTGACGGCACCCATTCAATGCAGTGGATCCACTGGTGAGCAAGTAATACTAAATTACTCCAAATCTGTTCCAATGAAGAAACAAACTCATCTACATCTTGGATGGCCTGAGGAGGAGTACATTTTCAGAAAATTTTATTTTTGGGTGAACTGTTGCTTCGAAGGAACGATGAGATAACTCGCAGTATGATTTCAGGGCAAAGAGTGGGCGTCAATTTGAAACTGGGTTAAGGGGTGGAAGTTTTGTGCGGTATACAAGGTTTGCTAAATGCTAGACCACATGCTTTTTTTTTTTCCACACCGCCTCTCTGCTGTCTGTAGGTGATAGCCGCTGAGGGAGAAATGAATGCGTCACGAGCACTGAAGGAGGCATCTCTGGTGATTGCAGAGTCCCCCTCTGCTTTGCAGCTGCGCTACCTCCAGACCCTTAACACCATCGCAGCCGAGAAGAACTCCACCATCATTTTCCCTCTGCCCATTGACATGATGCAGTCCTTCATGAAGCACTGAACTAAGAGCCACATGAAGCGACCTACACTCACGCACACATACATACATACAGATGCATCCATGCAGTAATGAACAGACTGACGTTATATAACATGCACTCATGTGAGTATACCCGGTGCAGCCGGGTCCAGAAGTTTGAGACCACATTGAATTCTGGTATTCATTGTTGGAAAACTTAAATCTAAGAAATATCATTACGTGAAATGAAGATGAAATATTTGAGGTTGTGTTTGCAAGTCACTAATTTAAAAAAGAGAAAATTGGTGATCATGTGACTCTGTACAGATGGTCAGATGTTCAAGATGCTCTTTGGATCATCTCAAATCATGCTGGAGAACATGAGCATCAAGTTTAACACACAGTTGTGGAGTTCATGCAGCTTGAGTGCTGCTGTTGTTAACATGAAATACAGGTAAATCCTGAAACCCATGTACATTTTAACCACTCAAATTGTTATTCTAATAGTATACTATATTAGAAATGTTTTCACTAGTGGTCTCACTTTTGGACCCTACTGTACACACTCAGCCATTTTCTGATGTGTGACCTGTAGATGTTCCTAGTAAAGACCTGTTCACTCTGTCTGAAGGAAATCTGATACAACCAAACAATATTAAAGTCATAAAATATTTGCTAAATAAGATTCCAATTTTAAATAATTTCCTGCCCTTGAACAAAAAAATCACATTGTTGCCTTTTCAACTTTTTTTTCATACTTATCATACCAAAATTTGGACTTACAAATTGAGAGCCTTTTGGAACATCTCCTGGTCATATGAGTGCATGTGTGTGTTTCAGGCACATGTAACCTAACCTTGATTGTCAAATAGATAATAAACCGTCTAAAGGAATATTTAGATAGTATCAGGTGTCAAAACATGGAACTGAGAGCAGTGCTTAATGTGCCTACCAGTTTTTCTTGCTTTCTTAAACTTTTATTAATGTTGACTGTCAATATTAAAACCTTAAGCAATATCCATTTCAATTACTGAATTAATATTTATAGCTTTACATGATGGTTACATACATACAGATGCATCCATGCAGTAATGAACAGACTGACGTTATATAACATGCACTCATGTGAGTATACCCGGTGCAGCCGGGTCCAGAAGTTTGAGACCACATTGAATTCTGGTATTCATTGTTGGAAAACTTAAATCTAAGAAATATCATTACGTGAAATGAAGATGAAATATTTGAGGTTGTGTTTGCAAGTCACTAATTTAAAAAAGAGAAAATTGGTGATCATGTGACTCTGTACAGATGGTCAGATGTTCAAGATGCTCTTTGGATCATCTCAAATCATGCTGGAGAACATGAGCATCAAGTTTAACACAGTTGTGGAGTTCATGCAGCTTGAGTGCTGCTGTTGTTAACATGAAATACAGGTAAATCCTGAAACCCATGTACATTTGTACATTTTAACCACTCAAATTGTTATTCTAATAGTATACTATATTAGAAATGTTTTCATTAGTGGTCTCACTTTTGGACCCTACTGTACACACTCAGCCATTTTCTGATGTGTGACCTGTAGATGTTCCTAGTAAAGACCTGTTCACTCTGTCTGAAGGAAAAATTGTTAAAAGCGCTATATAAATAAAGGTGACTTGACTTGACTTGACTATAAGTTATAGCATTTTAGCTGATCTTCAGGCAGTTGATTGACCCATATGTTAACAGTTATCTAAACCAGCCCCTAGAAATAAACAGCAGACCTTCCTCTTAGCATCCATTCAGTCTTACCATTGCATATGTAAGAATAATAAGGCCTCTGCTTCTCTAGGCCTCTAACAAGACATGCTCCTTTAAAACTCCGTAATGGATTTAATAGTCTTAAAAATAATAATAATAATAATTGTCATTGCTCACACGGACCATGGCTGTGTTTGGAATTAATACTAGCTTACTAACTGGACACTGCTCAGTATGTACAGTATACTGCCTAATTAAAAATAGCTAGTGAAATAGGTATTACTTCACAATAAGAGTTTTAAACCATATGTTACATTGTTGTCACACAATACACATTAAATGATAGCCATTTTAAATGTATTAAGTTGTTTTACATTTTTAAGCCAGTTTTGTGTTAACATTTGGCAGTCTGATTTAACAATCAGTCATTAAAAATCGTGGTTGATATTGATATTACCACCTGAATGCTCAAGTGCGTTATAGTACTATATACTACTATAGTTTTTTATTGATGTTGATTTTTTTTAATATATTTTCAGTTTGCATTTTAGTAATTGTGTTATGTGCTTTTGTAATTTTTATTCTTTGCTGTTGTTTTTATTTATTTGTAATTTATTTTAATTTTAGTTTGAGTTATTTCCAGTTCATTTTTGTGCTTCAACTTCAACTTTCTTTCAGTTAGTTGCCAAAGCAACATTTCTGATTTTCATTTAGTTTAAGTTCTTCATCCATTATTTATATTTTATTTTAGCTTTATTTACATTTACAACTATTTCTTTTTAGTTAGCAACAATTGTGGAACACTTTGGGATGAAATGTTCAACAGAGCATGCTATGTCGTATACTGCACATTTTGGCAAATGTAGAAGGTTATCTAGGCATTTCATGTATATAAATATATACTGTATACACACCATAATACACTTACAGAACAGTATGAGTAGTATGTTAGTATTCTATTCAGCACACAGCCAATCACTGAACTCCTGAGTGTCAGATGGCATAGCGACAAGGTGGAAATGCCTCATATCTTTGGTGGCATCATAAGCATTGCTTATCATAAAAATATTAATTCAAAACACTAAAGTATTATTTATATTAAAACTCTTGATACTGGTCACATTAAAAAGATTTATAGAAAAAGAAGGCAAAAAGATACCTGACTGATTTTGACAAAGATATCCCTTCAGCAACATAAGGTGTGCAGACCAAGCACAACAATCTAAAAGCTTTACAAGAGTAAAAACTGTTGAGCACATAACGAAAACACTTAAATACAGAAGTAAAAAGTAGTTAAATGAATGGAGTTGCCTTATATTTGGTGACTGAAGCTCAGGGCAGTTTAAAAATTGCCTTTTGATACTGACCCAGGGCCAGCTTTGGTTTTTGAATCCATGATTAAACCTTCATAAGCATCAAATTGGCATCTTATATGAATCTAAGGGCAACTTTGATCAACTTGCAGTAAGGTAGTGGGGTTTAAAGGTCAGGGGTGACAGCTCTAAGTTCAGATCTCCAGCTCCGCCATGGCCCGCTCCAGGGGGTCAGTGCTCCAGTAGTCGTGGTCCCAGCCCAGGAACCAGCCTGTGAATGTGGGCGGCTCAAAGCCTTGTTTAATCTTCACGATGGGTGTACGTGGGTCACGGTTGGCTGGGTCCGTCTCAATGTATCGAGCAGCTGGAGAGAGAGAAAAGGAAGTTTAATATGGGATTCATAAAAGGACACATTATAAAGTGTTTTGCGATTTCAAAATATGCTCATGTTTCTATCTTCCTTTCTATCTTGCAAACATTATCGCCACCTACTGGACTGTAGCATGGACCACATACAATATTAACTGAAAAAATCTGTCATGACATGCATTAACAGATTCCAAATAAATGCTGTTCTTTTGAATGTTCTATTCAGCAAAGAATTGTGAAAAAAGTGTATGTTGGTTTCCACAAAAATATTAAACAGCTAAACTCTTTTCAACCGATCATATTATTAATTTCCTTGAGCACCAAAACAGCATATTAGAATGATTTTATAAATGAAAATATGTTTTGGTTGTCTAGTACATAAGTGGCACCCAGTTATCATTTTGGAACAAATTAAAAAAAAATCTAAATACATTTTTTTGTTTTGTTTTGTTCTGTTTTATCCTAAATAAATATAGTCAGTTTTGTCAAAAAATAAATATTAAAAATCACTTGGATAAACAGGAGTTGCATTGTGGGATACAGTATTCCATGCAATGATCTGTTGTGTACTTCACATGAGGAATGTAGTAGGTAATTTGAGTGTTCTACACAAAGAAAAAAAATTGCATACTGAGTAGTATGGTAATACACTGTTTACTCTAGTATGGTAAACAGTAGTATGGTAAAACTTACTGTTTTATACTTTATGCAGTGAATTATAATTAGAAGTATAAAGTGTTTTAAGGTGCCTTACCTGAAGTCATTGCCTCAGTCTTCTCCTCATCATGAGCTTCATTACCAATCCAAACAAACACCTGCAAAACACATCAAGATTCCTTACAATTCTCTGTGATGCATTATTAATTTATTAAACATCAGTTGCATGTTGCATGACAAGTTTAGTACACAATTTAACTTAACTGCCTTAACAATAACTCTGCATATAGAAATGTAATGATTAACCAACTATTTGGACATTTTATTGAATTCAGAAGGGTTCAAGGTTTGGCCGGTTAGCTTCTGCATCCCTACCAGTCGATGCAGTAACTGCACAATTATGCAGACAAAAAGCATGTTTCTCCATTACTGATATAATAACATTTGAAAACAGTTTCCAGGTCACATGCTTCCATTGATATGAATGGGAATATACAGCTCTCCCTTTATAAATGAGATCTCCTTGATTGCAACACTATGTAAAGTAGAACAATCCTGTTAAAGTAGTTAGTTTACCTGATCCCAGGTGTCCAGGATCATGACATCATCTGTAGCCAGGTCTTCTTGAGTCATCTCTCCAGGAACTTCTTCAATCTGCATGGATATCAATGCATCCATAATGAATAGCCCTTGATCATGCTACACTGACAATATACTTGCTGTATTTAAATCAGGGCAGGCAAAAAATCTGGGTGTGTTACTCACAATGAAACGGCCAGTTTTGTTTGAGCAGGCGAACAGTTGTGGTGGGTGGGCATTCATCTTGTCCTTTAGCCTGGCGGACGTGCGGTAATCAGCCTTTCCTCCCAGAGCGTCCCAGAAACTACCTGCAGTGTGATGCATACATGTATATTCACATGAGCTTAATTATGAGAATCACTTGAAAAACAATAAGTCTATCAAAATCATAAATGCTTATAATATATATAGTAATAAAAAATGGTCACACATGAACCAAATATGTTCTATATAATAAAAATGAAATAATTGAATGATTCATTTCTTTTGTTTTATTTTTCATTCATCTTAAAAGGAGTAGTTCACCCATAAATTAAAATACTGTCACATAAGCTACATGAACCACTATTATGATGCTTCTCACTCGTTTTGTGGCCTTTTTTAAAACTTCTGGGTGAAATATTACTTTGAAAATTTCAGATGAGTCCTCACCATCCTCTCCTCCTTCACCCAGCTCGGAGGACGACACTCCAAGGATATCACAGAGCTGCTGTGCCCCACGTTTCTCTGTATCACAGGCTCCTCGTCCCACCCATATGAAAGATGCAGCCGGGGTCACCAGGACAAAGGCATCGTTGGAGTTCAGATTGGAGGACATGGCATCAACCTAGATACAACAATGGTTAAGATCAGCAAATATTTAGAGAATATTTAAAAGCTCCCACCAATAGTAAATATTAGATGCTGACCTCCACCGCTCGTGTGCACCCTGTGGAGTTTGAGCGCACTTGGAACAGCCGAGTCTCGGCTGGCGCAGTCTGACCGCCTTCCCTGGAGGTGCCGCCCTGGTGCACCACCATAGGCTTCCCTCCGAACAGACCCATGAGGTGAGCAGGTTCCTTACCCTGAACCACCCGCACCTGAAAAATACACAGCAAGTGCACATTAAACAGAGAAATCACGAAGTCATGCTTTCGCAAAACTATTACAATTCTGTAATTCTGATATGCAGTATATCAGACACAATGCAACATTGTCATTGGCTTTTCAAGAGTCTTTGGTTGAGGATGCATTTAATTCCACAGGGTGGCAGTGTGGAGCTCACTGTGAGGAACTTGCAGCTAATGCCAAGGTTCCCAGCATCCTTTGTGGTCAGCTTGATGACAGTGGGCTGTTCAACTCCAGGAGGAAGCAGAGATTTATCAATGGTCGCAGCTAAAGTGGTTATTTTTCT